TATATCTGTTTAAGAAATTGAAATTGAAGATTTAACTAAAATTTTCCCACCAACAAATTCAAGATCTGTCTGTCTTAATTTTTTCTTTCTTTCTTTCTTTCTTTCTTTCTTTCTTTCTTTCTTTCTTTCTTTCTTTCTTTTCTTTTCTTTTCTTTTCTTTTTTCTTTCTTTCTTCTTTCTTTCTTTCTTTCTTTCTTTCTTTCTTTCTTTTTCTTTCTTTCATCTTTCTATCTTTTTGAGACAGGGAGTAACTATGCAGTCCAGGCTGACCTTGTAGCCCAAGCTGGTTGCAAACTTGCAAATGATTCTCCTGCCTCAGCCTCCCAAGTGCTAGGATTACAGGAGTGCACCACCATGCCCTGGTGTATCTTTGTGTATCTTTGTGTAATTAGGTATTTTTGTGTAAACAGTATTGGCTTTCTCCTGACACAATATGCAAAATTAATTCAAAACATTCAAAGATCTACATGTAAGAGCTAAACTGATAAGATTAGAAGAAAACATAAGAATAAATCTCTATAGCTTTGAATTAAACAGGTTTCTCAGATATGACACCAAAAGCACAAGCAAGCAAAGATAAAGTTGAACTTCATTAAAATCTAAAAAAAGACTATCAAGAACGAAGAAAACAAGGGCTAAAGATAAAGCTTGGTGATATAGTGTTTGCCTAACATTCCTGAGGCCCTGGGTTTGATCTCAGCACTGGGGAAAAAACAGGAAAAGAAAATGAGGACTCATAGAATGGGAGAAATTCTTTTTTTTTTTTTTTTTTGTCTTTTTATCGGTACCAGGGATCAAACTCAGGACTGCCTGCTTGCAAGGCAGGCGCTTATGCCGCTGAGCTAAATCCCCAGCCCCAAATGGGAGAAATTCTTAGCAAATCACATAGTTGACAAGGGTCTAGTGTCCAAATTACATGAGGATAACTTAGAACTCAACAACAAGATGAAAAATCCAATTTAAAAACGGGCAAAGAACCTGAATAAACTTTTCTCCAACAAAGATATACCAAAAAAACATACAAAAAATCAACAAGCACACGAGAAGAAGTTTAGTATCATTAACCATTTGGGGAATACAGATGACAATCGTAAGACACCACATCATACCCATGCTTAGGTATATACCCAAGAGAATTAAAAACCTATGTCCCTAAATTAAAAAAGAGCAGCTTAGGAGAATGAAGGAAACTTTGAATGAACAACATGAAGAAGAATTGGTGTCATGGTTTATGTCGGTGCCCCCCCCCCCCAGGCCTCATGCGTTTCCATTGTGCATTTGTGATTGGTTCATTGTCTAGTGCTTGGATTCATGGTGTCAGTGCTCCACCCACCGAAGGGTGGAGTCAGCATACAACGACGTAATGGCAGGAAAAAGGTGTGTCTTTCTCTCTCTTGCCGGTTTCTGCCTTGCTGTTTGCAGCCGCCACCCAGCCTTGGCGCCAACTGAGTATAGATTGAAACCTCCAAAAACTGTAAGAAATAAATCTTACCTTTCCCAACTTTGGGCATCAGGTATTTTGTCTCAGCAATGAGTTAAAAGTAACTAAAACAATTTGGAGCGCATGAAACAGACTCAAAGAGGTATCCAGGAATTTAAAAACTCCATTGAAAGCTGGCAAAACCACTAAAGTGAAATAATTTAGACACATGCAATTAATTAGACACATGAAATAATTTAGACACATGAAATTTCATGATTTATATGAAAAACCTAAATTATAAATAAAAAGCAAAATAAAAGATAGATAATAAAGCAGGGAAACAGAGCTTTTTCATATGGGAAGTAGACTGAGATAAAGAAGGGATGGGAGGGGCTGGAGGTTTAGCTCAGCGGCATAAGCGCCTGCCTTGAAAGCGGGCAGTCGTGAGTTCGATCCCCGGTACCGATAAAAAAAGGAAAAAGACAAAAAAAAAAAAAAAAAAAAAAAAGAAGGGATGGGAAACGGGAAGGGGTTGAAAAAGAAGAATTAAAATGTGTCATGTACAGGTACCAAGTCAGCATAAGGAATGTCATTTTGTATCAGAAATACGTACTAATAAAAAATAAAAACTGAAGAAAATAAAATATTCATAGCTCATATTCATAACTCAGATACAATCCTATGCATTTAGTAATGCACTGGATGCTGGGAGCGGGAGGAACTGACCAAGAAGCCAACCAGCCAGCCTTTCTGGTAAGCCAGGCAAGCCATGCAGGTTCCACGAAGAGAGAAGTCAGCACCTTCCATGAACCAAAACCCCCACCTTCCATAAGTAACCAGCTGGTTCGAGGGCAGGCTGAGTTGATAGCATCTAAGGTACAAAAAGCATGTAAATACTTGTATTGTTTGGTTGATTTTGCAGGCCTGACACCAGCAGTCTGAGCATCTATTGTGAGGATTGACAGTATACAATATACCAAATATGATTTCCTTCTGTCTTGCCTTTAACATCTAACCATGGAGACTTCACTGTAATGACATTATCTGTATTAGTTACTTTCCCCTTGCTGGATAAAATACCCACCACCCAAATTTAGAGGAGGGAAGGTTTATTTTAGCTCACAGTTTGTAGAGGTTTCAGTTTATAGTCAGTTGGCTCCAAGGCAAGACAGCATTGCAGAGGAGAGAGAGAATAGGGCAGACAGAAAGCAGTAAGTGCTCACGGCTAAAGGCATTTATATATATCCATGCCACAACCATAGTGACTCACCTATTTCCACCTGGCCTTACCTCCCAGGATCACACCCACCTGTAACCCATCAGTGGATTCCAGCACCACACATCCATGATCCAATCACCTCTCAAAAGCCCCACCTAGGAACACATGAGGCTTTGGGGGGACATCTAGATATAAACCATAACATTATCTAATCCCTCACCTCTAAACATCATAGTCGAAGTTCCCATCCTCTTTGGGTTACATTTCAATACTTGAACCCTTGAGGGACACACTCAACATGTTCGAACCATAGCAGTACAAGTATAAAACATGAATTGCTTCATGTCCTCAAAAAGCAGTAAACTGCCCCATGGGCTCAGACATTTTGGTATTTACCTTGTGAATCCTACAAAGTCAGATTTGAAAGCACATTGGAGGTCACCTAGTTCAGCCTTTCCCAAGCAGAAGATTTCTGGTCCCAGGAGCTAGGAAAGTGGGGAAACCATGTGCTCTTCTCCTGGGGCAACTCCTATAGGAAGAGGGGAGCACAACAGACATGATGGAGCTTTGCAGAAGCAACACTGTTCTGTGTCTCCATGTGGCTGCAGCCCTGATGAGATTAAATGCTAACGGGAATCCCTGCTAGGAACCAAAAAGTGAGTACACCTTTGGTACCTGGACATTACTGTTTTGCATTCCCATTTAAAAACCATTAAGGCTTGTCACTTCCTTTTCACCCTGAGACCACAGAAGGAACAAAACTTACCCTTTCTGTCACATCCAAGATTCTCAAGAGTTTTGTTTTGAATGTTGAGTTCCTTTTGGGGAGGGAGAAACATAAACATTTTTGATGTGTGCGTGCGTGCGTGCATGTGTGGTGTGTACACAAAGAAAGGTTGCTTCTTTCCTCTCACCCCTCTGCATTACAAGTCTTTGCCTCTTACTCTGAACTTGTAGCTGTCAGCACTGTGCCAGGGGGCATGCAGTTTCTGGGCTGTCTGCTTTCCAAGGTCATCCTTTGAGGTGAGCGGACTGCTGGATGCATGTGTAATAAGTCAGACAAGTGTTCTTTGGCTGACTGTAGGCTCTTCCCCTCGGATCTGAAGCTGCAGGGGAAGTCTGAGAGTAGTCTGTAGACTGTTTAGTTGCTATAAATTCCTAAAAGAAATTGAAGGCATGATTAATCATTCCTAGGTACCCACTTCTCTCTCCTTCCTCCTGTCCTTTGGTGAGTGTCAAAGGATGTGACAATGTCTGGTGGAGTTCATGGAGAGGAAAGCAGTGGCCTGTGGGCTGCAGCTTGGAGAAAGAGGTTATCCTAGGATGAAATATCAAACCATACATCATTGATTTTCCCTCTGGGGGGCCCGGATATCACATCCTTCCATTTCTCTCCAGTCCCTGCCTGCCATCGACAGGGAAGCATTAACAGGGAATAATCAATGGTGCTCCGTCCTGAAAATAAAAGGCTTGTCATGTCTCTCCATTTGGTGGAATGGATGGGGGACCAGGGGTCATGTGGCCACTTCCATCTGTCTCTCGACAGAGCCACTGACTCAGACATGTTTTCCACCCAGAGGGCTGCAGCCCACCGCCAGGTGACCGCAAGCTCTCCATGGGCATCCAGAAAAACAAGACTTCAATTTCTTTGAACTCTTGCATCAGGAGCTTGGCTAACTATCAAACATGGCAGCTTAAGAGTGGCTTTAGTGAACTTTGATTTTTGAATTTCCTCATGGATTGATGTTTCCTAATATGCTCCATGCTGTGCACACAGTTAAAATGAGGCCATGCATTCACTGTTTTACCACAAGCACACAGAAATGCATGATCGACGGGGATGTCAGTCTGTGGTCCGGCCTCACAGCACATCTGGTATGCGAGAATTTGCTGTAACTTTCCTGGTGGCATTAGCACCATTACCTCCTATTGTTGTTTGTCATTTGTTAGGTCAACTCAGACAGTATTTTTCACACTCGACTAAAGTCTACTTTCTGATTGTCCTGGCTGACGCATGCAGAAACCTATTCATATGTTCCTCTTGGATCCATTTCCTCCTTGGTTCCTGCATCTGCACTCTCCCATTCCCAATTCTGAAAGTCCTTTTGATTTACATATTATGTCTGGTCATCCCCCCCAAACCTCTGGCATGGAAGCATGTAAAGATTCTTCTTCTTTCAACACTTTATAGTAGCCTCCTTGCTCCTGCTTAATCCTTCCTCCTTTATTCAGCTCACAGGCAAAAAGCATCTCCTTCTGCTTCCCAAAGCTATGTTCATGTAAGGCTCACTTAGCTGCCTTTGGAAGACATGCTTTGGACTAGTTCTAGTAACAATCTCTTTGCATTTTGATGCCTGCTCTAGACGAAGCTATGCTTTTTTGTCCTACCCTTGTACAATTTGGTTTTATTTGGTCCTGCATGAAGAACCACATAACTACTGTGATTGCAAATTTTTTTCTCCCCTCCCCACGCCTGGGACAGGGTCTGGCTGTTCCAGGCTGGAATTGAATTTACTATGTAATCTAGGCTGGCCTCAAACTCACAGCAGTCCTGTTTCAGCCTCCCAAGTGCTTGGATTATATGTGTGCACCACTGTACCCAGTTGTGCTCTTTTTAAATCAGGTTCTGTATTTAAAAGCATTCACAGATATTCATAGCCTTGCTTAATCTGCAGATTTTGCAAGCATTCTTTTTCCATCTTGGTCTTGATCACTGGCAGAAATGAGAGGGGAGGGCTTTAGATTCATCAAGCCAAGAACTAAAGTGCATTTCTCTCCTTGTTACAGGGCCAGAGCCCACCCCACTAAGTCACTACAAAGCAGAGAGCAAGGAGCACACATTGCCATGGGCAGATAAACTTCAAAAGAGAGGGCAGAGGGCTAGGCAGTGTGTGCTGTTCCTTCTGGAATGAACCAGTCAAGGAACTTAACTCATCTTCCAGCTTATCGGTAAGTCACAGTAAGCATCCTATACTACCTCACCATTCTGAAGCGCTTCCTATTCATTCTCTGCTTCAGTCCTGCCTTACTTGTTTTGTTGGAGGAGAAGCACTTTTCTCCCTGAAGTCCCCCTACCTGTTAACATGGGTTCTAGAAGCAGAGCTGTTTCTAACAGCTTGCCTTGACTGGGCTCCTACAAAAGGGCCCATGAGGTGATCCATTCACCCTATTTCCATCAAAACCCTGATTTTCTTTTCGGTTCTGCCCTCCTCCATTTTTCCTTCATAAACTTTTCAAAATCTTCAAATGCAAGAAGTGGACAGAATCAATAAAACTAAATTTCCTGATTCCTTACTGAGACAACTTGATCTGGGCTGTGCATTGCAACAAGACAGCCTCAACCGGACGGTTCTCTCAGCCAAATGAGTCCTCGCAGCCTCTCCAAGTCCATTCTTCCTATCAGATCTGTTGGTGCTGCAATATTTCCCCAGGAAAGTCCTCTGTTTACCATAAACATATCAGTGTTATAGTCAACTGCTTACCGCAGTATAAGTCCAAGCAAAATGAAATACAGGTTTCGGCAGTATCCAAGCTCTGAGCCCAGCCCACCTCCAGCATCCAGCTTCATAACACAATTTTCCAGCTTTCCTGGCTGGCACCTGCAGCTCCCACTATCTCTGAAGGGACAGCCAGCTTTGTGTCTGACAGAGGAGGGACAGAGGTTAGAAAAACATTTTTCAAAATGCAGATTTGTCATATCCAAAAGTCTAATCATCAAAGCAAAGATAGAAATGATGTCGTGTGTGTGTGTTATAAATGAGCCTGGGCCTTTGTTTTCAAAGTGCTCAGTGGGACCAAGGGCAGGTCTGTTTGAGCCTCCACTTCCTCAACTGTAAGATGGATAGAATAATTTATATCTAGCCCTCTGATCAGAATTGCTGGCCTCTGTGTGGAGCATTGCTATTTTATGGTCATATTTAGTCTCTTAGTGTATTCAACATGTTTGTTGGAAAAAGTAACAAGAATTGGTATGAAAATACTTAGTGAAATATAATGTCTGATTTCCAGGCTGTATTTTGTTTTTGTTGTTATAAAAGCACTAACCCTCATCTTTCAAAATCTGTGATTCTCCTGGTTGCCTCCAAGATCCCTAACAACAATTTAGCAATCCCATTTTCAAGGGTTATCAGCATCCTAGAAGGAAATTCATAGAGGTAAGTGACTTTAATTCATTAGCTAGCAAGAGGAAAGGGGGCACTTTTTGTAATCTCTTTACTTGGAGCTTTAATTCCCTCTTATCAACATTGCTGTTACCCATTTCATGGTAAAAGATTTTATTTGCCAGTAAAGAAGAAAGCAAATTAAGGATGTAGAGGTTCTGCCTTCTTTCTGATAAAAATCACTCCTATTCCCAAACAGTGGCCTGTATCATCTTTTTTCTATTTGCTCTCAATTTAACTTTAAAAAGCCATTTCTGGTACCTAGGCTCTTTTTGCAAGTTTCAACTTATTACTACCTTCAAGTTTCTGATATTTTTAAGCTAATAACTATCTTTTTTATAAAAGTATGTGTTACCCTTCTGTCACTATAGTGATTACCTGACTTAAACTTATAAAGAGGGAAAAAAGGAAGAAAAGAAGAAAAGATGGATGGAAGAATGGATAGGAGGGAAAGAGGGAGGGAGGGAGAAACAGGAGACTGAGGTCCAAGAATCTCCTCCAGGGCATACCCTGTCCCACTGACTTGAGACCTCCCACCCGGCTCTGCCTCTGAATTTCCATCACTTCCCAATAACCTCAAGCTGGGAACTAAGACTTTAGCACACCGTTGGCCTCATATTATAGCCAAGTTTTCACATTCCACCCTACCAAAGTCTAATTAACTAAAGCCCACGATAATAGAGGCAATGCACAAGATAGCGTTTTGAGCATGCTATTCATTTTAGGCCCCTTTGCCTTACTTAAGAAATGAAGAATCTGTTGTTGGTATTTTTTTTAAATCATCAAAGTTCCTATGTTAATCAGCTTTCTGAACTGTGACAAAATATCTAATATAAACAATTGATAGGAGAAAAGGCTTATTTGGGGTCCTGGTTTCAGAGGCTTTAATCCGTATCACTCATCTCTGTGGCTGGGGCCGATGGCATGAGCAGTACATTGTGAGGAGATCCAGGCTGCAGAAGGACCTTTCACTCCATGGTGGCTGGGAAACAGAGGAAAGGGCTGGGGTCCCAATATCCCTCTCAAGGGCACACTGTCAGCGACTTAAATTCTCCTACTAGGCCCATCTCTGGAAGAGTTCACCACTCCAGTACCACCATGGGCCTGGGGACCAAGACTTTAACACATGGGCCTTCAGGGACTCTTTCGTACCCAAGCTATAGCAATGACCAGAAAAGTATTTCCCAGGCCAAAGCCCCAAACAGACTGTAATCAAGAAGCTGTACTGTACAGCCATTCCTGACACTGTTTTTAGAACTTCGCAGGCCCCTGGTTTTGCATTCTTTTCCTTTCCATTCTCTATATTTGTTTTACTGCTCTTTTAAATCATCTTGTCAAGCCTGGTATAGTACACACATCTGTAATCCCAGCACTTGGGAGGCTGAGGCAGAAGGGTCACCACCAGTCTGAGGCTAGCCTGGACTACATAGTGAGTTCAAGTTCAGCCTGAACTACATAATGAGACGCTGTCTCAAAAATAAATAAATAATAGTTCTTCCCAGAGCTTCTTTTGCAGCTGCTGAGATTTTTCTTACGGTTCATCTTCCCTTCTTTTCTTTTGGTGACATCTTTAGCTATATGGACAAATTTGAGCTTTTGAGGACTCCCAGTTATTTTGGTTTGAGGTAGTTGGTTCCCCAAAAGCTCATATACTGGGAGACTGGTCTCCAGTATAACAGTATTGATGGATGGTGGGATCCTTGAGAGGTGGGGCCTGCTGGGAGGTCATGTTAGCTACTTCCTCGTTGCTGCAACAATGTACCCAACATATACAAGTTAAAAGGGGAAAGATTTATTTTAGCTCACAGTTTGTAGAGGTTTCAGTCCATTGTTGGCTGGCTCCACACAAGGCAGCATATCTGCATGAGAGAGGGACATGGCAGAGGAGAAACTGTCCATGGCAGGGCAGGCAGAACCAAGTAGTGAGCCTTCCTTTCCTTTTTGATTCCTTTCAGGCTACCTGCCTATTGAGTGGTGCCACCTACACCCAGCATGGGCCTTCATATTATCTATATCCAGGTCCATGCTAAACCAATCAGTGAACCAATCCAGCTATTGCATCCTTAGTCCAGTATCACACACCCATGATCCATCCACCTCCCCAAAGCCCTGACTATGAGCACATGAGGTTTTGGGGAGACATCTAGATATAAACTATAAAGAGCTCATTAGATCATGAGGATGTTGTCCTGAAAAGGGGTTGACACTCATCTACAGAGAGTAGATTAGTTTTTGACTAGACTGATGACCATGAAAGCAGGTTGTTACAAAGCTGGTTCATCTTTCTCAGTGCTTTTTCTCTTGCCCCTGACCTCTGTGCTTTGGATGCGCTCCACCAGGTGATGCATTCTGCCCCAAGGCCCTAAGTCAAAGCCAGTACTAGCACCATGCTTTTGCACCTCTAGAACTACAAGCTAAATAGATCTCTTTTTTTATAAAGTACCCATCTCAAAGCAGCCAGCCCAGCCCCTGTGTGCACACAGGCTACCATTGGAATGCTCCCATGAGTAACCAGCACAGGTGGGGAGAAGCAGCCAGCCCAGTCTCTGCATGCAGGCAGGCTGCCATCGGGACTCTTCTTCCAGTAGCCAGTGCAAGCCAGGAGAACCAGCCATCCATGCCTTGGAGAAGCCACAAGTGTTTGGAGAACCCTGCCTGACACCCCACTGCCTATGGGTAACCTGGGTAAGGAGAAACCCAGGTGTGGGACCCATCTCTCTACACTGTGAACAGGTAGCCAATATGTGAAGCACCCGGGACCCTAAAACATCCTTATCCAGAGGAACCCAAAAAATGTCAAGACAAAGGAGCAAAAGGCAATCTCTGGCCTCCATTCAAATAGAACAAGTCCAGGAGGCCTGGACATGAAAGAAAGTAGAAGCCTCACACCTGAAATTTTTGGGATGATAGCAACTGAACCAAAGAAACTACTTCATGAGGCTGTAAAAGAGATCAGAAACAGTATCTCAAATAAAAGAACAAATGACAAACATAATAAAAGACTTGCTGAGAATATCTTAACAAGACATAGATTTCAAAAATAGAGGAGCTTAGGAGAATGAGGGAAACCTTGAACAAACAATATACAGAAGAATTAGAATGCATGAAACAGATTCAAAGAGATATCCAGGAAATGTAAAACTCCATTGAAAGCTGGAAAAACCACTTGAAAGAAACTGAAGATAGACTTTCAGACCTTGAAGACAGGATGGCAACTAGTTATTATGAAAGGAAAGATCTCTTAAAAATAACAAGGAACCAGGAAATAACAATTCAACAGCTATAAGATGATGCAAAGAAAAATAATTTAAGAATGATAGGTGTCAGCAAAAAAAGTAGGAGTCAACACAAATGACATAAAGAGATTATTTACAGAAGTAATAACAGAAAACTTCCCAAGCATAGGAAAAGGAGCTGACATACAGATACATGAGGCATATAGAACTCCAATTAGCCATAATCAAAATAAATCTATACCCAAACATATAATAATTAAGATCCAGAAATTCAGCACAAGAACAGAATATTAAAGGCTGTTAGAGAAAAGAAACAGATCACCTATAAAGGAAAACCCATCAGAATCATGGCAGACTTTCAACACAAACCATAAAGTCAAGAAGAGTTTAGAGTAGTGTTTCAAATCCTGAAAGCAAACCCCTTCTAACTCAGATTGATGTACCCTGAAAAACTATCTTTCAAAATTAATGGAGACATAAGATACTTCCATGACAAAGAACAACTGAAGGGATTCATGACCACCAAATCAACTCTACAAAAAGTACTGAAATA